GCCCCCAGAGCCCCTCAGGGGGCGGCGGCGTGAGCGGCTGGTGGGAAAGAGGTCTCCATCGACCCAGGGAAACCTCAGATTTCCCCCGCGCCACTTGTCATCCCTAGTTGCTGGGTGTTTTGGACGGCGGAAGGTGGAGGGAACCAAAGAGTGTGCATGTCTGAGTGCTGTTGTCAGGGCTGGAGGGCTGGAGATTAGGAAGGGACTGAGTGTATGCATCTCTCTCTCTCTCTCTCTCTCTCTCTCTCTCTCTCTCTCTCTCTCTCTCGATTTCCTTCCGGACATCTCAAATGCAAAGGGGGTGGGAGTTTGAGTCGACTTTCCCATGGAGAATAAATCCTGGGATATTCTGAAATGAGGGAATGAGGGAGAGGATTTGGAAAGCATTTGGCGTGATGCATTGTGCAGTGCGCTTCAGGAGGGGGCCCTGTGGATCAAGTTCAAGAACTTCGGGGAATATCACTGGGGCTTGGGAGGTGGGGAGGGGGGCAGGCTCAGTTCTCAGTGGCGTTTAGGCAGCGAGGAGGGCCACAACTAGAAAGCTGTTTGGGAAAATGAAAAGCCAGCTGGGATGGCAGCCGGAACATCATTTGGCAAACGGTGTTTCTTTGGCAAGAAGCTTTGAAATGTGCCTGTACTATTAGGGAGAGTACGATTGGCCGTCTATGATAGAAACAAACCAGTTTTAATTGTATTTGTTTATTTTGGTAATTTACTCACTGCTTGGGAATGAGACAACTTTTTTGCACTTTATTTTGACTGGAGAAGTGGGAAGTCTCCTTGCACAGGCACAAGCTTGATTGGAAGGTGCTCATTGTATATTCTAGGAACCTTTGAGGCAGTGTGATAAGACAGCAGGCTCAGTCGTAGAGTTAGATTGTCTTTTTAAGTAGAGTGGATTTTCTGAGAAAACAAAGCATTTCAGCAGAGAAGCAGAGAAAGTGTCCACTGAAGTGGTGGATAAAAATCGAATTGTCTTAATTATATCAAAGTGCTATTACAAGTTGCACAGTAATAAAAAGATAGAAAAGCCACCCAAAGGAAGGTGGTTTTTTACTGCATATATATAATAGCTTCACTATATTTAAGTAATTAAACTATTTAGCAGTATTCTTTACATCTTATCCCTTGTTAACACTTGAGATTTTAAACATTTATCATTGCAACATGGGTATATTTTCAAGCATTTCTGAAGATGAGATGAAATGAACTTTTGACTCTCTTGTGGTTAGTGATTTTTGTTACAGCAGCTATAAGCATGTTTTCTGCAGTTAAGTTTCTTGCATTTTGGAATCTTTCATAGATTTGGTCTTTTTGCCCTAGAAAGTTGTGGACTTAAAAATGTTCATTAACAAGAATACATCCAGAGACAAATGGCAGGGGGTTGGGGGGTGGTGGGGGAGATTAGAGAGCAACCAAAGGACTTGTATGCATGCATATTAGCATAACCAATGGACAGACACTGGGGCGGTGGAGGCTTGCCCAGGTGGGAATGGCTGGGGTGGGGGTCAGTTGGGGAAAAAGAAGTGATATGTAAAACTTTAGACAATAAAAATGTTCATTACTTAGATTTTAAAGAGATAATAACAGGTTATCTCTAACTTATGAAAAAAAAAGGTCCTTAAAATAGTATATTGAAGCTGGAAACTCAGCCAATTTAACTAATAAGGTAATTTGAGAGAGATATTTGGAATTCAGAATATTTCACTTATGGGGCTAGAAGAAATGTTAACAAAATAAATAGTCATATTATGAATAACCTTTTGCAGAGTATTCATATAACTAATGAGCTCTGAGATTCATTCATAAAAATCCCAGAAATCTAAGGAAGCAACCCAAAACTTTCCTCATTAATTACCCTGTAGGGGAAAATTTCAGATTAAATATTGCTCTTTTGAAGTGGTATTCCAGCTTAATTTAGTTGTCACTTTAAATTTATTATGTAAAGTTGATATTGAATACTATTATACATACACTTATTTTATGTTTTATATAGCTTGCAGCATATTTTCACAAATTATTTTGGATGGGATTCCTTTTAAAATTGGAAATGAAAATACACTTAAAATATTTGTATTTCCATCTTATTCAGTTTAGGTAATGATGGAAGTATACAGCATATAATTACTTTGTTTAGCGGTCTTTATTTAAAATGAATATAGTGTTACTCGTTAAAAACAAAATTATTGGATGACCTTGTTTGTCCACTATGTTTCAAATACAGAAGAGGGCCTTACCTTTTATTTTTCCTTTTGACACAGTACTTTCAACAAATATTTACTTGTTGTATAACATGCATCAGTCATGTTAACACACTTTTAAATTCAGGCTGCACATGAACTTAGTTTGAAGCTTTCCTAAAACTGGAGAATTGTAGTTTATACACTCAAATGCCAGTTTCATCTCCTCACCTGCCTCCTTTTGCTCCTGTATAAATAGGAAGAGAGTGGCATATGGTTCAGTAATTGCAACACTTGCTATTTGCCAAATGTGTGATATTGGTTAAATTATTTAATTGTTCAGTGTCTCAGTTTCCTCACCAGTTTAATATAATTATAGTACCAATTTAATAGGATTTGAGAATAAACATAAAGTGCTTAGAACAGTGCTTGACCTGTAGTAAAAGTTTACAAAGGTTAGCCGTTAACAATTATAAGTAATAGAGGACAGATTTTATTATTCTTGTTAGGGTTAAATTTTAATTTATAGTAAGTATAATTTATTACATTTTAAAGTTAATTGGAGAATTATTTTGCAATTAAATGATAGTATAATAAACTTTCAGAAGTTTGAAACAACCAATTTAATAACCAACTTCTTTCCTGGAACTTGAAATTTTCAGGCCAAGTTCAAGTCACCTGGCTTTGCGAATCATACTCCAGTTAGTTTCTTTGGATTAGCTCCAACAGAAGCCTTTTCTGATTCAGCGCCAAGAAGTGTTTTAACGCTGTCTGCTAGGACTTGAAATTGTGGTAGTATTTTCTGACTGTATCCAAGTCACTGGGTTGGAATGCTAAAGGTTATATACAGAACATTAAACATGGAATACCAGCTCCATTTAGCTACATGGACACTCTTATCTGTTATCAGTCATAACTCATTATTTTATCAATTCATTTACAGTAAAATCTGCAACATATACTAGCACTATTACATTTCATATTACTCTTTTAATAATTAAGATGGGTTGCTCTTTCTTGAAGAAAACCAGTGATTTATTGGGCTTTCTTTTTTGAGGGGGTGTCTGTTATGTGTATTTCTGGCTGTTTTTCGCAACATCTGCTTGAAATGTGATACACAGACCACCATTGTTAAAACTAGCATTACACATGTCCTTCATTTCTCATAATCGGTGAGTTTACCATATTACTGATTTATTGATCTCCTGTTACAGCGTTTTGAGTTTTGAGCTCCATATGTTGACTGAGTAACATGTGGTGCCAAAGTACACCCTTCTCTAGGATTTCTCTGTATACCCATTTTTGTTGTGCTGTATGAGAGTGCCAGATCTAGGAATTCATGCTATTGTTGAACTGGGATGTGAAATCTAATTCATCTTACTAGATTTTTATTTTTTAAAAAAATTTAGCCCTAACCATTTTGGCTCAGTGGCTAGAGCGTGGGCCTGCAGACTGAAGGGTCCCGGGTTCGATTCCAGTCAAGAGCATGTACCTTGGTTGCAGGCACATCCCTAGTAGGGGGTGTGCAGGAGACAGCTGATCGATGTTTCTCTCTCATCAATGTTTCTAATTCTCTATCCCTCTCCCTTCCTCTCTGTAAAAAATCAATAAAATACATACTTAAAAAAAGTCTGTTTCATGCTCCTATGTCTCTGAACCCATTTTGTTCATCAGTTTTTTATTTGTTAGATTCCACATATGAGTGAGATCATGTGGTACTTATCTTTCTCTGACTGGCTTATTTCACTTAGCATAATACTCCAGTTCCATCCATGCTGTTGCAAATGGTAAGACTTCTTTCTTTTATACAGTTGTGTAGTATTCCATTGTGTAGATGTACCACAGTTTTTTTATCCACTCATCTGCTGATGGGCACTTGGGCTGTTTCCAAATCTTAGCTATTATAAATTGCACTGCTACAAACATAGGGTGCTTATATTTTTTCTGATTGGTGTTTTGGGTTTCTTAGGGATCGGTGGGTCAAATGGCAGGGCCATATTTAATTTTTTTAGGAAACTTCATACTGTTTTCCCTTTTGCACATTCTTTAAAACTATGTTTACAAGGATTATATGCTCTTATTGGATTGATTCTTTAATTATAGTGTAATGCCCTTATTTGTCTCCTATTACATCCTATCATTTTTTTATTTTTTATTTTTTTATTTTTAAATATATTTTATTGATTTTGTATAGAGAGGGAGGGAGAAGGATAGAGAGTTAGAAACATCGATGAGAGAGAACCATCGATCAGCTGCCTCCTGCACATCTCCTACTGGGGATGTGCCC